GCGGCCGCAATTAAGCAGCGATTTCATAATAAATCACCATTTACCCAACGGTCTACGGTCACTGCTAGCGGTACTACTCAAACTGCTGTCCGGTCGGTCAGCTGACTGCTATTCAGAGTCATTGTGGGGCTTTTCACTACTATGATTAGTCATAGTTAGAGGTCAAATATGACGTAACATTAGCGATTGCCTTATGTTACGAAAGCTGAATTTTGCGTATTGCAGCTATCGCAGATGACTCATATGCCCATTCTTATGGTTTCGCAAATCGTTTTCTACCATGAAAATGATAACGTAACACTCAAGTGTAGCCATAAACAGTGATGTTATATTTTATGACTTAATAACCGCCCTAATAGTGCTGCAATAGATACATTTTGTTTTTAAATTGAATATAAGTATAGTTAATCTGACCACATCGTATGTAGTAGTAACATGATTAAATATCTAGTTTGCAACAACTGAAATGCCCAATCCCCTGATGCACTGCAGTTCCTGGAACAAGTTTTCAGCACATTTGTAAATTGTTGTAGGTGACATACACATATGTTATTAAAACGGTTAGTTTTGATGAATTTCGTTTGAATGAAAAACGGCATACAACACGGTTTGTTTCTAGAATCACGGTAATACGTAACACAAACAATAATATGGTCCAATCATTGACAATGATTCAATTGTCCGATTGACCACGTTGTTTCTTGCAATGGGTGCTAATAAATCGTTTTGTGCAGTTTGTCAGCATCACCACCTACGTATGAACGAAATTCTCTATTCTTGAATGAAAGTAATTTCCACTCACCGCTACTAAGAGGAAGTCAGTTCGTGTAGAGATAGCACCGGGTAAACAGCGGGTCTTCCTAGCAGTGGAAGGATTTAATGGATTAGCGATGCTAATTTCTTTAAACAGGATATTTAGGAGTATAGAGTCGCTTTAATGGTTGCTTCCTAGTCTCATTCGAGTTCACTACTGAAACAAAGGTTTCGATGTGAGAGAAGTAAAAATGTTAAGCACGTTAGCATTAAATCAATCTCAAAGCGTCAATTAGAGAAGAAACGGAAGTAACTCTAAAAGTCCACTTGATGTCAAAATGCAATGAACTTAGCCTTACATTACTAGCGCTTTCGTAGTGAAGTTGTACGGCAATTTCTACTGCTATATCAAGATGTTTTGTTTCCACTTCCATTTCTCCTCCTTTCCGTCACATCGCATCGAAGATAAAGCCACATGTGGTTACAACCACTCCATCGAGAACACGTAATTGCGTACTCTGTTCACCCTTTAAGTGTCATGTCAGTTCTTGATCCCCACATGATCTTCGAAGGTTTTACTCATGACATAATGTTCCATGAATAGCAAAACAGTAACGAAAATCTAGCTATTGGAGTATCAGACTTCTTTACTTTCATGTTGGGACCATTTCCTGCGCCATTCTTATCATTAAGTTATTGATAACGCGCTACGCTCTACTTCCGTGTCAGCAGTGCCTCATTTTAAACGCGAAGCCGACAGCATGTGGAGAGCATAGTGGGTGGTCGCCTGTTTCCTTCCCACAAAATGTCACGATTTAT